TACTTAGCAGCTGGCAGAATCCCCACATTGGTTCCCTCACCTGTGGAGTGAGGTCAATTATGGTGGGAAAGGCCACATGGAAGCCATTAGAGCTGCCTCTACCTAGGAAAATAGTAAATCAAAAACAATACCACATCCCTGGAGGGATTGCAGAGATTAGTGCTACTATTAAGGACTTGAAAGAGGCAGGGGTGGTGATTCCCACCACATCCCCATTCAACTCTCCTATTTGGCCCATGAAGAAGACAGACGGATCTTGGAGGATGACAGTGGATCATCATAAGCTTAACCAAGTGGTGACTCCAATTGCAGCTGATGTGCCAGACGTGGCTTCATTGCTTGAACAAATTAACACATCAGGTACCTGGTATGCAGCTATTGATTTGGCAAATGCCTTTTTCTCCATTCCTGTCCATAAGGCCCACCAGAAGCAGTTTGCTTTCAGCTGGCAAGGTCAGCAATACACCTTTACTGTCCTACCTCAGGGGTATATCAACTCTCCAGCCCTATGTCACAATTTAGTTCACAGGGATCTTGATCACCTTTCCCTTCCATAAGACATTATGCTGTTCCCTTACATTGATGACATTATGCTGATTGGACATACTGAGCATGAAGTAGCAACTGCTCTGGACTTATTGGTAAGACATTTGCATGTCAGAGGATGGGAAATAAATCCAACTAAAATTCAGGGGCCTCCTACCTCAGTTAAATTTTTAGGGATCCAGTGGTGTGGGGCACGTTGACATATCCCTTCTAAGGTGAAGGATAAATTGTTGTATCTGGCCCCTCCTACAACCAAGAAAGAGGCACAGCGCCTAGTGGGCCTATTTGGATTTTGGAGGCGACATATTCCTCACTTGGGTGTGTTACTCTGGCCCACCTACTGAGTGACACTAAGGCTGCTAGTTTTGAGTGGGGCCCAGAGCAGGAGAAGGCTCTGCAACAGGTCCAGGCTGCTGTGCAAGCTGCTCTGCCCCTTGGGACATATGATCCGGCAGACCCAATGGTCCTTGAAGTGTCAGTGGCAGATAGGGATGCAGTATGGAGACTTCAGCAGGCCCTTATAAGTGAATCACAGTGGAGACCCTTGGGATTTCAGAGCAAGGCCCTGCCATCATCTGCGGACAACTACTCTCCTTTTGAGAAACAGCTCTTGGCCTGCTATTGGGCCTTAGTAGAAACTGAATGCTTGACTATGGGCTACCAAGTTACCATGCAACCTGAGCTGCCCATCATGAACTGGGTGTTATCTGACCCAGCAAGTCATGAGGTTGGGTGTGCACCGAAGCACTCCATCATCAAATGGAAATGGTATATACGTGATCGGGCCCAGGCAAGTCCTGAAGGCACAAGTCAGTTACATGAGGAAGTGGCCCAAATGCCCCTGGTTCCTACTCCTGCTACGCTGCCTTCTCTTCCCAGCCTGCACCTGTGGCCTCATGGGGAGCTCCCTCTGATCAGCTGACAGAGGAGGACAAGGCTAGAGCCTGGTTTACAGATGGTTCTGCACGATATGCAGGCACCAGCCGGAAGTGGACAGCCGCGGCACTGCACCCCTTTTCTGGGACATCCCTGAAGGACAGTGGTGAGGGCAGATCCTCTCAGTGGGCAGAACTTCAGGCAGTGCGCTTGGTTGTGCACTTTGCCTGGAAGGAGCAATGCCCAGATGTGCGATTATAGACTGATTCATGGGCCGCAGCCAATGGTTTGGCCAGATAGTCAGGGACATGGAAGGAACATGATTGGAAAATTGGTGAGAAAGAAATTTGGGGAAGAGGTATGTGGATGGACCTCTCTGAGTGGGCAAAGGATGTGAAGATATTTGTTTCCCATGTGAATGCCCATCAAAAGGTGACCTCAGCAGAGGAGGACCTTAATAATCAGGTGGACAGGATGACCTGTTCTGTGGATACTAGTCAGCCTCTTTCTCCAGCCACCCCTGTCATCACCCAGTGGGCGCATGAGCAAAGTGGCCAGGGTAGCAGGGATAGAGGTTACGCATGGGCTCAGCAACATGGACTTCTGCTCACCAAGGCCAATCTGGCTACAGCAACCACTGAGTGCCCAATCTGCCAGCATCAGAGACCAGCACTGAGCCCCCGATGTGGCACCATTCCCTGGGGTGATGAACCAGCCACCTGGTGGCAGGTTGATGACACTGGACTGCTTCCATCATGGAAGGGACATTTTGTCCTTACTGGAATAGACACTTACTCTGGATGTGGATTTGCCTTCCCAGCACGAAATGCTTCGGCCAAAACTACCATCCGTGGACTCACAAAATGCCTTATTCGCCATCATGGCATTCCACACAGCATTGCTTCTGACCAGGGAACTCACTTCACAGCTAAGGAAGTGCGGCAATGGGCTCATGCTCATGGAGTTCACTGGTCTTACCATGTTCCCCATCATCCTGAAGCAGCCAGTCTGCTAGAATGGTGGAACGGCCTTTTGAAGTCACAGTTACAGTGCCAGCTAGGTGACAATACCTTGCAGAGTTGGGGCAAAGTTCTCCAGAAGGCTGTATATGCTCTAAATCAGTGGCCAATATATGGTACTGTCTCTCCCATAGCCAGGACTCACGGGTCCAGGAATCAAGGGGTGGAAACGGAAGTGGCACCACTCACCATTATCCTTAGGGAACCATTAGCAAAATTTTTGCTTCCTGTCCGCGCATCTTTATGCTCTGCTGGTCTAGCAGTCTTGGTTCCAGACAGAGGAATGCTTCCATCAGGAGACACAACAATGATCCCACTAAACTGGAAGTTAAGGCTGCCACCTGGACACTTGGGGCTCCTCATGCCTCTGAGTCAACAGGCTCAGAAAGGAGTGACTGTGGGGCCGGCCCGGTGGCGCACTGCTATAGTGCGCTGCTTGGGAAGCGCAGTGGTGCTCCCACCGAGGGTTCGGATCCCACATACAGACCGGCCGCTCACTGGCTGAGTGAGGTGCGGGGGCAACGCCAAGGGTTGCGATCCCGTTGCCGGTCTCGGTCCGGTACGGGCGTGACACTGAGGGTTGCGATCCGTTGCCGGCCACGAAAAAAGACAAAAAGGAAAAAAAAAAAAAAGAAAGGAGTGACTGTGTTGGCTTGGTTGATTGACCCGGACTACCAAAGGGAAGTTGGACGACTACTTCACAATGGAGGTGAGGAAGACTATTTATCTGAAATACAGGAGATCCCTTAGGACGTCTCTTAGTACTACCATGCCCTGTGATTAGGGTCAATGGAAAATTACAACAACCAAATCCAGGCAAGACTATGAATGACCCAGACTCGATGAAGGTTTGGGTCACTCTGCCAGGTAAAGAACCACGACCTGCTGAGGTGCTCGCTGAAGGGAAAGGGAACACAGAATAGGTAGTAGAAGAAGGTAGTTACAAATACCAGCTTCAACCACGTGACCAGTTACAGGAATGAGGATTGTAATTGTTCTCCCTGTTGTGTTAAGAATATGTTTGTATGTCTCTATACTGTACGCATATTAAGCAATTATCTTTGTTTTTGTTCTTGTTATTCTTTGCCATGTACCATGAGACTTAATAACTTTATACCAGCATTTAAATGTTAACATTACTTCGTAGCATTTGCAATTTTAAGTTATGGGATATCGGAAGAAAGGTAAATATCATTTAAGGACTTTACCTTTTTCTTCTTGAAAAGGGATTAATGCATTTCTAGTTGTACGGAGGATAGCGTATCATGTTAGGCAAAACTATTATGTTATTGTACAATTTGAAAATTAAGTGTGATTTAAGGAGATAGTATGGACACCAAGTTGACAAGGGGTGGACTTGTGAAGGTTAATTCTAGGTGTCAATTTGGTTAGATGAAGGAATGCTGAGAAACCCAGTAAAGCCATCTTTTCAGGTGTGTCCATGAGGGTGTTTCCAGCAGAGATTAGTATGAGTCTGATTGGATTGGGTGGGAAAGACCCACCCTCAGTGTGGGTGGGAACCATCCAATCCACTGGGATTCTTCAGCTCAAGACTCTTCAGCTCTTGGGTTCCAGGGCTTACACCAAGGACACCATCACCTTACCTGGTTTTGAGGCCTTTGGACTTGGACTGGGCCACGCTACCAGCATCCAGTTTGCAGACAGCTTATCGTGGGACTTTTCTTCATAGTCACGTGAGCTAATTCCCCTAATAAATCCCTCTCATATAATTATAACATATCCTATTGATTCTGTCTCTCTGGAGAACCCTAATACATTCTGTTCCTTGGTTTAGTAAAGCATTTTCAAACTGATTATATTGCTGGTGAAAATAAATACTAAAACCTTTTCAGAATGATATTTGGCAATATCTACTCAAATTTAAACTAGCTCTATTTCTTGATCTGGGTACTGGATACACAGGTGTACTGACTTTGTAAAAAAAAAAATAGAGCTTTCCACTCTATTAATTCTATTAACTCTATTAAAAGTGTGTTTGTATACTTTTCTACATATACATTATCCTTTAATTCCTCTTTAAAAAACTTACACACACAAAATGTACATACCCAACAACTTGATCATACCTGTTATGGGATTCTTTTCTTCATCTTGCAAATGATAACAAAAAGGCAAACAACCCGATTTTTTTTTACATGGACAATGAATATAAACAAGCAATTGACAGAAGAGCAAATCCAAATAGGCAGAGAACATAGAAAAATACGAAGTCTCTTGGGTGGTCATAAAAATGCTAATTAAACTTACAAGATATCACTTTCTATCCATAAATTTAAGAAGTGATAACACCCACTTCTGGGGTGGGGAAAAGGAGGTTCCAATACATTACTGGTGAAAATATGAATTGTTAACAGCCTTTTGGGGAAAATGATCAGGTAATATCTATTAAATATGTGCATTCTTTGACCTAACAAGTCCAGTGTGCAGGGTTGTATGCTCAAGAATATTTTGTGTAACATAAGGTAAAAAACTGAAAATCCTTCAAAAAAGAAAAGATTGAGCTGGCTAGTTAGCTCAGTTGGTTAGAGTACAGCCTTATTACACCAAGGTCACAGGTTCAGATCCCCATGCCAGCCGCAAAAAAAAAAAAAGAAAAAGAAAAAGAAAAGATTACATCAACAATGGTGAACCTATACCATGAAATATTGTTCAACTATTATGAAAAATAAATTAGATATATTGCCCAGGTCAATAACATTTTCTGTCAGTTCAACTTGTTGCAGCTAGCATGTGTTACTTTTATGATTTTCTAGAGTGGAAGGAAAAAAGGAAAAGAAGTCTGCCCTGAACTCCCCGTGTGGTCTAGGAAGGTGTGGGAAAGGGGGCCTGGGTAGAACAGAGGCCCCAGGAAAGCCTTCTGTCCCAGCAGGTGATCCCAACACACTCAGTGGCCCTAGGCAAATGGCTGCCCCTCTCCGGACCTCAGATGCCCTCCTCTCCAGAATGCAGCGAGTGGCAGCCATAAAAAGCATGCTGCTTACTACCAACGGTCGGCTTGAGTTTGAGTCCCAGTGGCACTTAAGTGGCGCTATGAGCCAGACATCTTCGAAAGGCCCTACCCTTGTCAACCCATTTAATCCCTCATCGACCCCACGAGTTGGGTACCTCATATTATCATACCCATACTACAAAGGGGGACAACTGAGACACGTAGAGGTTACTGGAGATCACACACTAGAAAGTGGCAGAATTCCAGCGCAGGCAGCCTGGCTCCGACTCGGGCCCTGGACCACCAGGCTCTGCGCGGCTCGCGTCTCAGCAGCTGACTTCCTCCGTCTCAACCCCGGTTTACTCCGCCGTGAAATGCACTTCCCAGTACTCACCTTTTCAGTTTGCTGCAAGGGTTAAATGGAGTCCGGAGTGGACCTGGAAGAAGGAAGTGTTTAAAAAATGGGAACCGTTGTTACCTCAGTCCCTGCAGGAAGATGTGCCAATGCCAGGGGTCCTCTCCGGTGCAAGTTGCAGGGCAGGGATCCGGGCCCTGGGCCTTCCAGACCCCGACCACACCACACCCTGTTCCAGCCCCGCCAGAGAAGAAAGGGAAGCTGAGTCCGGGGGCCCGGGCGACCGGCCCGGAAGCCTCTCGGTGGCGTGAAGCAAGAACCTCCCAGCCGCTCAGCCCCAGCACATAAAGGAGGCCTGGCCGCTGCGGCTCTCAGCCCTCCCTGCGCGCGCTCCCAGCCATGCCCGGCCGCCGTGCGCTGCTCGCCTGCGCCTTCCTCGCCCTCCTCCGACTCGGAGCGGCTCGGAACACAGAAGAGCCGGCCTCCTGCACCCTCGTCGTGCCCCGGAGCGAGTGGAGGGCCTTGGCATCCAAGTGCTCCCAGCACCTGAAACTACCCGTGCGCTACGTGGTGGTGTCGCACACGGCGGGCAGCACCTGCAACACTCCAGCCTTGTGCCAGCAGCAGGTCCGGAACGTGCAGCACTACCATTCGCAGACGCTGGGCTGGTGCGACGTGGGCTACAAGTGAGTGTGGAGAACAGGCAAAGGCTGCACTAGGGACTGGAGGCGGCCAGGGAGTGCAGGCATGAGATAGCGGGACCCAGCTCTAGGCCAGGTTCTGAAGCCGCCAGCTGACACTCTGGGCAGCTTACTGAATCTTGCGGGGTCTTGTTTTCTACCCAGGGTCACCAGATAGCGCTGGGCAGATTCAGGCAGCACAAAAATGCTATGAGGAGCGGGAAAGGACTGAAGGGCAAGCCTTACTCCCCAGAGGAGGGGGCAGGCTCTGCCTAACACACACCAAGGTGTTCCCTGTATTAGAGTTCCTTCCTAAAGTCTGGTGCTGATTAAGCATGGGGCCAGGTTCCAGTGCCAACTCAGCTTATTGCTGGCTGAGACCCAGGGTAGGTCCTCTCAGCTTCAGCTTCCTCCTCTGCAAAGTCAGCGGGATTGTGGCCCACCTGATCATTAAACAAGCCAATACATATCAAGCACCTAGGACACTGCCTGGCATGTAGTGGGAGCCCAAAAATCAATGGGCTACTGCCATTAGGCATCTACAATTAAAATGTGCCAGGCAGCATGTGGGAAGCTGGAATGGAGACACAGCCATTTACAGTGCAACTCTAGCCTTATGGGGTTTAAAGACTAGCAGGGAGAAACATGAAAGAAATAAGCAAAGTCAACAAGATGAATTCAGATGGTGACGGAAGTGATGGATCAAAGGAACGGTGATTGAGAGTGACCTCAGAAGCTGGGGCCAGACCCACACAGGCTCCTTTTGAAAGGTGGGGTGAGGAAAGAAGGCCTCCCTGAGACAGTGGCTTTGGGTTGGCTCGGGGGGGGGGGTGTTAAGGGGTGTAGTAAACAGGATACAGGTCAAACGCTATGAGGCTGAGTGAGTGGGTCATGTCACTAAGAGTGGCCGGACACAGCTGGGGGAGGTGGTATGAAGTGAGAAGTGAGGGGTCGGCAGGAAGCAGATCATGCAGGGCCTGGTGGACCACAATGAGGACTCTGGTTTTTACTGAGAGGGGAGCCACGGAGGGCTCTGAGCACAGGAGGAACGCAGGCTGACTTAAGTATAAAAGGCTCCCTCTGGCTACTGTGGGGAGAATCAACTGTAGGTGGGTGGGAGCAGTAGCAGGCTTGGGGCAAGGGGGTTGGTTAGATCGGCCTCAGGGCCCATGCCCACCAGCACCCTCTTCAGTGTAATAGGATGGGGTCCCGCATGAGGATTTCCACAGCTAGAGGGAACATTTGAACCCTACAGTCCTCACCCCTAGGTAAGCATCAGAACTGTCTGGAGAATGCTGGAAATGCACGTTCCTAGGGCCCACCCCTAAAAACTGTTTCAGTAGACCACACTTAGAGAAATCTAGAAGCCTCCAAGGGTATCCCCAGCTCTTCAAAGGCTCCAACCTGAAGATTTGTTTCCAAGAGTCAGCCACTCCAATTCTCAGGTGTTCTCATGAAGACCCAAGCCTCTGGTCTTTCTCTGCAGTCTCTGGCCTAAGTTAGCTTATAGAAAAGCAGACTGAATTATGTTTCTCAGCTTTTAGTATTCACAGTCTGATTCTAACATTCTGAACCCCCTTCCTTGTCATGTCATGTTGTCTCTGAGCCTCAGTTTCTTCACCTGTAAATGGGGCTCTTGACTGTACCCACCTGATGATGGTAGTTTAGGTTTAAATTAGATGCATCCATGTAACAAATACACAGGGAGTGCCAACCCCCTGTGCCAGGGGCCAGAATGTGGCAAGGTCATAACCGGCCCAGTCCTGGCAGCTAGTGGCACTATTGTATTTCCAGTCTCCTCAGAGCCATATTCTGTGAGCTGGCTTCCTAAATGGCAGATTCCAGACTGGAGATTTGGAAGTTCCAACATTCTGTGTATCATTAGTGACCCTATGAATCAGATGGCTTAGGCAGATTCTAGATGCTGATCTCCTAGTTAACTCCAATGTGCCTGGACTCGATCAGTCAAGACGGGTTGAATGGGCAAGTCTTAAGGACCTGCTGCCAGGACTGGAAACCTCAGAGGCAGATGCTGGAGCTCCAGGGTCTATATCTGGTTGTGACCACATCCTTGCGTCCCTGATCCTGTCACCCAAGTGCACCCTGAGGGCAAGAAGCAGGTTAGGACCAGGGCAGAGCTCTGAGAGGCAGGGGTCTCTGGGAGCAGAACCTTGTGCCAATAACATCACTGAGTCTCTGCTCCTTCAGCTTAAAATGGAGATGACAACAGTACCTACCTCAGAGGGTTGTCGTGTGAGGATTCAGCAAAGCAAGAGTTGAACAAATCCTCCAGGGAGGCAGGAGAGAGCAAGGAATAATGTCACGTGGGTGGGAGGCATGGAGACCTGGATGAAAACCCTGACTACCCCTGACCCGCTGTGTGACCTTGGGCAGGTGATTCCACCTCTCTGATGGGGGTGCTAGTGACTCAGGATTGCTGTGAGGATGAAAAAATATACAGGCAGAGCTGTGCTTGGCACATAGCAGGAGCTCAATGAATGGCAACAGTCATTGCTATTATTGTGGAAATTAGAAGATGAGAAGGGGGATGTTGGGGAAATTGTGTGTGCACAGCAGAACAGGAGCAGGGAAGTGGAGGAGGGAGAAGGAGTCCTCCCCCAGGAAGTCCTCCCTCACTCATCAAGCTCCCCACCCACCCACACAGCTTCCTGATTGGAGAAGACGGACTCGTGTATGAGGGCCGGGGCTGGGACATCAAGGGTGACCACACAGGTCCCACCTGGAACCCCATGTCGATTGGCATCACTTTCATGGGCAACTACATGGGTGAGTAGCTGTCCAGCCCATCAGGATAGGGGGCTGACATGGGGCCTGAGGGATGGTGCTACACGGCAGGTGGTGGTTGAGAGGTTCTGCCATCTCCCAAGCTCTGTGACCTCAGGCAAGTGACTCCATTTCCTGAGCCTCATTTCCTCCTTTGCTTTTTGCGGGGGCAGCTGGCTGGCATGGGGAACCAAACCTTTGACCTTTGTGTTACAAGGCCTCCCTCTAACCAGCTGAGCTAATCGGCCAGCCTATTTCCTCCTTTGGATAAATGGGGTCATTTTCAACCACAGAATGGGAGTGAAGGTTAGTTGATCTATATAAAAATCCTTAGGACACTCCATGGCACCTAAGAAGTGCTTAATAAATGTTAGCTATTGTTGTGGGTAGGAGCCAGAGGCCTGAGGGCAGAGTAGGGAGAATAAGCAAGCAATAATCATTTTAACAGGCAGTGCTTCCTAAGGGCTCACTCTGTCCCAGGCACCTTTTGTGGGTTTTATATAAAGTAACTCATTTTACCCTCCCACTGCCCTATGGGTAGGTGCCATTACTCTCTCCTTTCATGGATGAGGAAACTGAGGCACAAAGAGGTTAAGTCCAGCTCAGTCATACTCACTACCCCACACTACCTCTGCCCTTCGAGGAAGCCCTAGCCTAACTCCTACCTTTGTCTTCCCTAGAGCGGACACCCCCACCCCGGGCCCTCCGGGCAGCCCAGAATCTGCTGGACTGCGGCTTAGCTCGGGGAGCCCTGAGCTCCAACTACGAAATCAAAGGACACCGGGATGTACAGCAGACACTCTCTCCAGGTGACCGGCTCTATGAAATCATCCAGAAGTGGAACCGCTACCGAGAGTGAGGCCCTGCTTGTTGGCCTCCCACTCTTCTCCCCCCATGGCCAGAAGCCCCACTGCCCCTTCCTCCAATAAAGGTGCAGCTCAACCTGTGCTCCTGAGCAGGTCCCACCACCCGCCCCCCTTCCCTACCCCCTACAAGACCCCAGCCATCCCCTCTTCCCAGCACTCTGTCCTCACTGGTGCTCAGAACCCAGAGGCCCCGACCCTGAACCAAGACCCCGGAGATCCCAGCTCGAAAGCAACATCACAGCTCAGAACCCAGAGGTCTCAGGTCAGAGCCCAGGAATCAGCACCAAGTCAGCCTGAATGTCACAGACAGCAGCTCAGGATATCCCCCCCAGGCAGTAAACCATGCGGTAAGACATCCCTTCCCCACCACACAGCCAAAGACATCCCATGCAGAATCTCTGCACTACCAACTCCTCAGGTCCCCCCTTACCTTGCTTTAGAGGGTGGGAGTTTTTCCTGAGGCTGAACCCCAATCTGCCTCCCAGTCATAGACATTTCCAGACATACACGCAGGTCCTAATTATACCCCCTCCAATCCCCTTCATTTCTCCCCACTCCATTCTCTTCAGTCATAAGCTGAGGGGTCCCAAGGGCAAATATGTTTATTTACAAAATGCACATATCCTCCCTCCCAGCTTGCATTGTCTGGGGAGAGGGCAGGGTCAGGGCCTCACACACCAGAGACCCCAGGAACACCAGAAGGGAGGGATAGAGGAGAAGTACCCCCTGTCCATGGTCAGGACCGGGTATCCAATCTGTTCATATATTCCTGCAAGGCCTTCAGGCGGGCATCTATTTCGGCCATGTCAGCTGCCTGGTGGTCTGAGCTGTACTCTGTGAGAACAGATGTGGGTGTAGGGGGCTGGGAAGCAGGTAGCTTCGCTGCCCTCATTACCATCCCACTGGGTTCTTGGGCTAGTGAGGGAAGGGGATACGTGGAGTCCTAGTCTCACCTTTGATGGGGACCCAGCCCCCTGAATTGGCCAGGCGTCTCTGATGGTGGCTGCATTCCAGAGAGGTGGACTTCTGGTGATGGGGAAGTCAGAAAGGGTGTCAGGCACCCTCACTCTATTCATGCCCCCCAAATCCCACTAGAAATTCTGAGTCTAAAAGACCTCAGGGGCCAGCCCATGGCTCACTCGGGAGAGTGCGGTGCTGATAACACCAAGGCCCCGGGTTCGGATCCCACATAGGGATGGCCAGTTAGCTCGCTGGCTGAGCGTGGTGCTGACAACACCAAGTCAAGGGTTAAGATCCCCTTACCGGTCATCTTTATTAAAAAAAATAATAAAAAATAAAAGACCTCAGGAAAAATAAGGACTGACACTACTCGACACTCATTATATGCAAAACCACCTCTTCATGTCCTCACAAGAACCTTCTGAGGTGATACCATTACCATCCCCATTTAACTGATAAACTGAGTCACACAGGTGGTAGGAGGAGGAGCCAGGTTTTATGACCTAGCAGTTTGAGGCCAGAGCCTTAAACAGCATCATGTGCTGTTTAAACAGCACCATTATCTCCCCCTCCAATCCAATGGTCTCATAACACCGTTTTCAGAGGCATTTCAGTCGCCTCTGCAACCTGATCCCCAGGATGGAATCATGGGAAATGGGGACGGCTGGCTTGCAGTGGATTAATGCTACCTCTACACTCACCGTCTTGGACCCACTCCAGGGCGTGGGGCTGGGAGGCTTCCCTCGGTGGCGAATGCTGAGAGGAAGTAATAATCAGGGACCAATGGTGGGGAACCCTTTGGTACCTCCCACCGCACCCACCTTCGTGGTTTAAAGACCCCCATCTCCATCACCCAATTTCCCTGCAAGAGAATGTTTCCAGTCTCCCCAGACACTTTCGAGGTGGTCACTTCCCACAGTCCAAGTTTTACCCTCTGGAGAGCGACTCAGAGAAATCCTCGAACTCGCTGCAGGAGCTGGCAGATGAGCAGCGGCTGCGGAAACTGTCCACTAGAGGGAGACGGAGGGTTTGAGCCTCCCCGCACATGCCAGTCGTGCCCAGCCCGCCCGCCAGCCCTGAGCTCCAGACCAGTTACCCGAGGAGCTGCGATTTCGGGAGCGGTTAGCTGCGTCCCCTCGGCCAGTCACGGCGGCAGGGGGCCGGGTCTGGCGAGACCAGGAGATGGACGGACCGTCCCCACTTCCTCCACTGCCCAATCGGTTCCGCTGCTGCTGCTGTTGCCTGGGAAACAGGAAAGGAGACGCCTGCTTGTGCGCCCAACTAACGCGGGGTAGGGCCTCGCTCCGCCCTTAAGGGTCACAGCCAGAACCGGTGGCCCAAGTGAAGTCACAGGACTTAGGAGGGGAAGAAGCATGCAGGGACACAGACTGGGTGGGTGTTGGAAAGACAAGTAAGCAGAGCAGGTGAGGGGTCAGGTGAGAAGCAGGCGGGAGGAAGGGGAGAAATAGAGCAGGTGACAGGTGATGGAGACAGATGGGAGGCAGGGAGAGATAAGGGAGTGGGCCAGGTGGCAAGGAAGTGGGCACAGGTAAGAGGGACAGGGACAGGAATAAGAGCAGGGAACTGGGCACTAACTTCATCCTGATTTCCCTCTGCTTCTTTTCTTTGGCTTTTACAAAGGCTGTGGGGTCGAAACGCAGTGCACGACCACCTAGGACAGTGTGGGGAAGTGTGGAGAGAAGGCTAGGGTCACAGGACCAGGCCTTCACAGCACTAGTCCATTCCGCCTCCCCCCAGGGCCGGGCGGGGCGGGGTGTCACAAGACCTGTGGGCGAGGGTGAGGGTCGAGCAGGGCGGCCCCGACCGCGGCTTCCGCGGCCACTCTCCCGGGATGAGGAGCGGGCAGCGCCGCGGCCACGTGAGGTGGAGCGCTCCCGGGACGACGAAGCCCGGTCCTCCCGGGCCGCGGGGGGCACCATGGGCAGAGTCCGTCTCCTGGGACCATAAGACCACCAGTCGGTTTACCGCTGGCCCGGAGCGCACCTTCTCTGAACCCTCAGGCTCAACTCTCATCAACTTCTAGACATTCACGCTCTCGCCCACGACCATCCCAGACACCCTCCCCCAGACTCTGCCTCTCTTCGAACCCCACAGATCTCCCCCCCCAAAATAACTCATTTCCCTACATCTTTTCAACATTCTCCGTTCTCCAGACCCTTCTTCCTTAAGTCTCCCGCAGCTCCCTGAAAACCCCTCCCAATTTTTCGCCACTCACCCCAAGAAATGCAAGCAGACCTCAACTTGATCCCCACCTGCTGAGCTGCACCTTCTCTCAATGAGAACCTCAGGCCCCGCCCCTTTCCCAGTCTCTATCTCCAGGCCCAGCCTCCTGAATACCCCCCCAAGCCCTGCCCATCTCTCCAAAGGCCGCGCCCACCATTTCCAACTACTGTATTCCCAGTCCCTTCCATACAGTCCATGAGGCCCCGCCCACCCCTCTGGCTTCTCCCGCCCTCTTCATCCTGCCCCGGCCCTGCCTAACCTCCATTAGCCTGCACCCGCTCTCCTCAGGCCCCGCCCACCCGGCCCCGCCCACCCGCAGGCCGCGCCCACCGCG